GGCAACGCTGCTAACCCTGGAACCACCTTGCAGCCCTGTAATCAAACCAATTTCATTAAATTACCTCAGCTTGAATTTAGTTTTAAATCAACTGATGCATACATCTGAGTTTAAATTACGTACAATAATAAGATGATTATAAGTTGTTTTGGCAGATTAGTTGTTTCTGTCTCGCGGCCATGTGTTTAATTGGGTGGTGGAAACTAAACTAAAGTAACTAAAGTGTGTTTCTCCACAAAAAAAAACAGCAACAATATGAATATTCAGAAAGTTTGGAAGGATTTAAATGATTTTTAGACCCCTTGATGATGCTAAATACGCAGAGTCACAGGTTCTGACAGTTTGTACTTCATGATTTATAGTTATTCCAAATCTATGCTTTACAGTTGTCTCAGTAACTGCTCTGGATTGTTGCAGCATATTTTATTAAAGCATTTACATGCTAGCGTTAGGTCCAGTAATGCTGAGTTATGAATTAAACATCACTTGCTTTAAATAGCTTTTGTGCTGCCAAGCTGAAATGGTTAAGCTACTGTTTAACTAGTATCTGTCTGCACCCAGTTGGATTGTTATCAGCTCAGTAAACTTTCGTTATCAGCTGTTATCACGATTGTAGATGCAGCTGGGAGGCGTCCTCCTTCACCTTCTGGTACGACGGCTGTCCTATCATTAAACCGTGATGATGGCGCAGATCCAGCATCACCTGATGCGATTGTTATCAGAATTGGGTGATCTGTTATCTCCAACATAAAGCTAAAGTTAAACTCTAACCATTTACAGACAAATAATGTGGTGCAACGTATGATAATGTTTACGTTTATTTATAAAGAACCCGCAAATTCCTTTACATCGCAGTACTAAGGTTAAAACTCTTCAGCAGAACAAGACAAATAAAACAAAGATAAAGTCGGGAAACTAAAAGTGCATAAAAGCAAGTAGTTGAATCCTTGTTTTTAAAGATTATATATATATATATATATTGTCGTAACGTTATTGCTCAGCCTTGAGGAACAGTTTGCATTTCACTGCACAAGCTGTTTGAGTGTGTGACAAATAAACACTCCTGAATACAAATACAGTGAAATAAACAAATACTGCAGATAGCAAGCATCTGATCTGGAAAATGAACCTTAAGACGAACAAACAAATCTGAATATTGCTTCATTTATCAGTAATTATTAACAGTTAAGACAGAATTAACTACATTAAAAAAAACAAAACAAACATTTTAATTATTAACAAATCGGAACACAAATCACCAAACAATAAAATATAAACATTCATACCACTTGCTAAACATTGTCAAGGCTTTATCTTAGATCTGAAGGCAACATGAGCTCTTGGTTGTGTTCCTCGAGCACTTCCTAAGCAGGTTTTGCAATTTGCCGTATCGCATAGCCCTGCTGAGTGAAACTGCTGACATTAGGTAATGCCATAAGAGGGTGTTCCCGGTCTGTAGTCGTGTTATTCAATGTTCAGCGGTGACCGTGACGGCCATCTTGGCTCCACACAATAGTCTTTTGCATAAAACCTTGGAGTTCAACAGCTCCTTCAAATTTGACAAACAGATCTGCCAAATGGTCAAAATAGCTTTTTGAGTTGAGACTTGAAGCCAAGGTGAAGGCCGATCACGTTCCTAAAGAGTTTTTCATGACTTTATTACCACTTCTCAGACTCTTGTAATTCTTTGTATGTGGTTGTAGAGCCGTCGCCTCTGAATCTGCTTGAGCAAAATGTGGCCGCTTGAGGGAGATTTGATTGTTTGTTTTCACGGTTCTAAACGAGTTGGCGCCTCTTTATTTAACAGAACTCTTGTTAGAGGTCGACAAACCTCCTGGATGTTCCGAGATCCAGGCACAAAAATAGAAAATATTGCACCTTTGCAGGCTCCTAATCTCTGGGAAAGTTTTCATGTAAGAACTGCTCAGACTTTAGAAGACCCACATCTTATCGGTGGCATTTGATTCAAGCCGACTTCATCTTTTACTGCGTTCTCTCACTATTTTATGTCTCCTTTTACTCGGTTTTGTCTTTTAGGCACTGTGGTTTAGTGTGTTTTATGACCTGTTGGTTTAATCGTACTGCACTTTGGTGGAACTCTGGTTGTTCTTAAATGTGCGTAATAAACTCATTTGGCTTTGACATGGTACACGGTAAGTGCCAGGACTCAAAGTTTCCCAATTGTACTGTAATGATAAGTGGTATAAATTTCACTTGTCAGAGGTTTTAAAGTTGTGGCTGATTGGTGTTTGTCATCTTGGGGGCACTTTGCATAGTCAAGAACCTCAATAACCACCCAAACAGCAACAAGGAGGAAAAACTCCCTTTTAACAGGAAAAAAAAAAGGTTCGTCAGAACCGGACTCGGGGTGGGCGGCTGTCTGTCTCGGCCGGTTAGTGGGAAAAAAAGAAAAGATGAGGCAAAGAATAAACACATGGGGAGATCAGAAACATGCAGCCAGAGTTACCTGCCGAGAGGACAAAACACAAACTACAGGAGAGCGAAGACACAAAGTAAATGACGTGCTTTAGTGGCATATAAATGCACAGACAGAGCAGAGTAGAGGGGACGCAGAAATATTACAGTAACAGCGCAGAATGTAAAGCTGACACTGAGCATTTCATCTTCCAAAGTACTCTCATACGGGAGTGGAATCGCCTCAGTTGTCTGTTCGTGCCTTTATCACAATTTCTGAACATCTTTATTGTAAACGAGATATAAGATAACAGATTTTTTTTTCTTTTCTTCCCCTTCTCCATCAATGCTGCCGGATGGATTTCAAGGTTCTGGTGGACCTCAGTAACAATCTGAAGAAAAACAAGTACCCAGAAGCCAACGCCGCCTACTTGCAGAGGTAACGCACTCTTAAGAAAGCGTGTAAGTGGAAGCTATCTCATTGACTGCATGTAAATCATTCCCTCCAGTAAGGTTTTCTTGTCTGCACGAAAAAACCTAACCTTCCTCCAAACGATCGACAATCACTTTGGCAACAGTAGGCGCCACGGTTTCCGGATGTCTCATATGTGAGAATAACATAGCTTTTCTGGAAAAGTGCTCCTAAACAACACATAAGAGAAGGAGACAGCAGCACTACTCTTCACCGAATCCGAAAGAAATGGGGGGAAAAAATTGCAGGGTTGCGGCTCCCTCAGCAGGTCGGCCTCCTGCGTGTCTATTCTGTCAAAGTGGAAACATTGATTCTCATCATTTTCCGACCCTTCTTCTTTTTCCTTTCCTTCCTCGTCAGTGTGTTTGTCGACAGAAACAATAGCGAATAAAAGTCCTCGCTGTGTGTTCTCTCTCCAGGCTGGTCCCGAAAGCTGCCGTGGTGAAAGGCCTGAACACGCTGTCTGCCTGGGCCCTGCAGAACGGACTGCTGGCAGGAAAACAGGTGAGAGCGGAGCAGAAGTGAGGAATCCGTTAAAAGATGTCAGTGGGATCAAGGCGAAACAGAGCCGGGAAGCTTCCGAGCCTTAAGGAAGACTTTGGTTTGACTAGAGTACAGATACAAAGACGGAGCGGTAACAGGAGGGGAGATTACCAAGTTGATCCCTTCATGATGAGAAATGTTTGACTTCAAACCAGGCAACAATAACCGCTTTCATCTTTCCCTTGCAAGTCAAAAAAAAAGACAAAAAAAGAGGTTGTTAAAAACCAGAGATTGCTTTAAAAATTTCAAGAAATGAATCGATTTGCTGCCGATTATTGATTTTGTCGTCCTTCCGCGGCAGGAGAAAACGAGGGCAGCGCTTGTCTAAACACACAAACGGGCAAACACACTTTATGATGTTACAAAGTTGAAAGACCAGTGTTTATTGCGGCTTACGTTTCACGGCTACAAAGAGAAACACAAACACGCTGGAACCTCTGGAGACCAAACCTGAATCTGCCTCAAATCCTCTTCAACACAAACAAGCCTCCTATACACGCACACGCAGACACAAACGCTGGCGCGCCGCCGCTGCAGTGCTCCATTTCTTTGAAAACAGGTAGCTGCGAGAGGACGAGGGGTGCTAGATTTCGGAACGTGTGCGTGTCTTTTTTTTTTTCCCATCAGTGCACGTGTACTTACAGTATACATACCCACATGCACATGCTTGTAAAAAGTGTGCACTATTCCCCGGCCAGCAATTTGATTAGATCCACAGCGGGGCCGTGGCTCTGTCACATTTACATTCAGATGGAGATTTAGTCTGTCGGCCGTCCCCTGCTGTTACTGGTGCAGTAATGTAGGGAGACATGGCTGGCTGCCCAGTCCACTTACACACACACCTGGGGAAAACTGCTCAATCCTACTGACTCCACTACACGCCTGTCAAACCGCTCCCTCTCTCCCCTCTAACGCTCTCCGGCTCTATCCGGCGCTATCTCTCGCCCCCCTTTTACAAACAACTTAATCATCTTATCGCAGAGCTGTGAGTGTGGTAATAAGCTTCAGCACGGTGAGATCTAGAAATGGGATTACATATTGAGCGACATATGTATAAAAAAAAAGTATGCATGTGTCTTTACATAATCGTGCACTTGCAAGGGGCTTCATCTGGAAATTACTGAAACAGCACTGGGAGATAAACAAAACAAGGGTAATTCTGTAGACAGACACTGTAGGTGTACACTGTGCAGTCATGCGCTAGATATTCCAAACAGGGATGGTGAGTCATCTAACAACAATCTTAGAGCATTTATTAGCGACGGAAAAAGACACAGCTAATTAGAATGCAGCAAGAGAGAAATATTTATATTGTTATTCTGAGGCGTTTTTGAAGCGAGGATGCATTTATTTCTCGAAATTACTGCTGATAGACTTCATAACTGCACATAAATATATTTTAAGCAGCGCTGAGACATGCCGAAACTTCAGAGTAACAAAAACTGCATTTTCGCTTTGAAGACTTTTGTCAAAAAAAAAAAAAACATCTAAAGCAGATTCACGGGCCACGCTGTTGCACCGGTAGAATTGTTCCTTCATTGCAACATGAACAGAGGCACTGCAGGTTTCTGAGACGGTGTCCTGCTGCGGTTTGTGTTTTCAAAGCAAGCATGCATTTATTTTCTGACTAATAGACTTCATATCTGCACATAAAGATGTTTTAAGCACGCTGGAATTTCATAGATAACAAAAACTGCATTTTCGCTTCCGTTTTTCCACTATAAAAAAAAAAAAAACATTAGGACTCAGGCCACTAAATGTCCCTTCATTACAAACACAAGCCAGGAAACTGTAGGTTTAAGAGTCAGTCCCCTGCTGCTGTTTGCATTTAAAGTAAGGATGCATTTATTTGCTGACTGCTACACTATCTACCTGCATATAACAATGTTTTAAGCAGCAAGTGGACCTGATGGAACTTTATAGATAACAAAAACTGCTCTTTGGCTTCCAGTTTTGCCAAAAAAAACCCTTAAGGCTAATGCACATGCTGTTGCACTAAATGTCCCTTCATTGGAAACTCAAACGAACCGTCAGCGCCCTGCTGCCGTTTGCATATTTTGAAGATGGGATGCATTTATTTTTGGTGTTTACCGCCTGATGGACTACAAAACTGCACATAAAGATCATTTCAGCAGCACGTGGACATGCTGAAACTTCATCGACGGCTAAATGGGCGCTTTCGCTTCCACTTACGACACAAAAACACATTAAAAGCACAAACACGGGCAATTCAGTTGCACTAAATTTCCCTTTATTGCACACACGCACAAAGACCCTGTCGATTTTACAGTCAGCGCTCTGCTGCCATTTGCATGTTTGAAGAGAGGGGGCATTTATTTTTTTAGATTCACTGAGTGCTACGCCACATACCTGCACATAAAGGTACTTTAAGGAAGCTTCCTGTTTTGTCCAACAAAACAGTAAAAGCACAAACACGGGTCGTGCTTTTGCGCTGGTACGAATGTTTCTTCTTTGCAAACACGAACAAAGACACTGTAGGTTTTTGATTCCTGCTGCCACTTGTTTGTTTATTTGCTATTCTGTACTTTTGAAGAAAGGAATTTGTGAAATTACTGACTGATAGACCACATAACCGCTAAATGTTCCTTCATTGCAAACGCGAACAAAGACACCGTGGGTTTTCGAATCAGTATCTTGCTGCTGTAAATACAGACCAGAGAAGCAAACCGGTGGCTGAAAAGTCTCTAACAAATGCGTGATTGATCTCTGTTTGAAGAAATCTTTGCCAAAACCTACGGCGCCAAGATTTCGTGGGATAATATTTATCCTTTTATTTCAAAACAAGATAGCATATACGAGATTTATGAAGAAAACAGTGGCAGAGAAAGTGGGTGGAAATTATAAAGTAATAAGAGCCAGAGCCTAACCCACTTCTGGTTTTGGTCATTTTTCGCTTATGGAAGATTTCCACAGCAGTAGCTGCATTCTAAAAATAACCCACACCTCCGTGCTCCAGGTGTACCTGTGTGGGAACAATGCAGCAGCTAAGCAGGCAGTGGCAGAGATGGCCACCAAACTGGGCCTCGCCGTTCTGGATCGAGGGTCTCTGTCTGCAGCCAGAGAGATCGAGGACTTCCCCCTGCGACTCTTCCCCGAGTGGAGGCTGCCTCTGTGCGTGGCGCTCGGCCTCACCGCCTTCTTCTTCTTCTACCTGCTCATCAGAGACGTCATCTACGCCTACGTCGAAAAGGATCAAAACATCTCCTACAGGATCATGGTGTCCCTGGCCAACAAGGTAAACGCTTCTCCCTCATCTCTGTTTTTAAGTCTCCTGCAGATTTTGCATCCTAAATGTTCATTTTCCGTATTTCAGGTGTTTCCAATCGTGTCCCTCGTCATGCTGTCTCTCTGCTACCTGCCTGGCGTTATAGCCGCCTTCCTCCAGCTCTACAGAGGGACCAAGTACAGGTCAGACATCAAACCGGGGCGAAAATAAAAAAAAGTTTTGCGACTGATGCAATTTACCATAAAACGTGCATCATTTCTGTCGTGTAAAGTCTCATTTTTGCATGTTCCAGGCGCTTCCCCGACTGGCTCGACCGCTGGATGCTGTGCAGGAAGCAGATGGGTCTCGTTGCGCTCGGCTTTGCTTTTCTCCATGTCGTCTACACGCTCATCATTCCCATTCGCTATCCGTTTGAGTACAATCTCATTAAGCAGGTACAGCGAGCTGCCCCGAACCAGTGTTTTCTGTAATCTTAAACAAAGCTGGATACAAAGCCCTCACAACTGTGGTTTATTCTCTCCTGTTGTTTTAGGCGAGGAATCAAACTACTCCATTGCACTTTGATAACACCGAAGCATGGGGTGCAGATTCGTTCTTTGTGACGGGAATCCTGGGCTTCTTCCTTTATGTCCTGCTAGGGCTGACATCGCTGCCCTCTGTGGGAGGCTCCCTCAGCTGGAGAGAGTTCAGCTTCGTTCAGGTCAGAGCGCGGCTGGAAAACGTACAACACGTTCGCCTTCACGCACGTTATCAGTCATGTGCTTACCATCGGTACAAACATTTTTTAGGGCCTTTGTGATAATCTCTATTTGGACTTTTTTTTATTTTTATTTTTATCAGAGTTATTAAAGTGTTGTAAAAGCAATATGTCACAGGCACTCGTCTAGTTAACTAACTGCCTAACACGGGCGCTCGGAGTGAAACCCTGGCTGACTTTGGCCCAGGATTTTAAATGTTAAGTTATTCATTAAATAGAATTATGATACCTGGTATAATCCCAAGTGGAAAGATTGTTAAAACAGGTCACAGGCCCATTTGTGTAAAGGTCAGGTCCATAGGTAGACCTCAGATAGTGGATGCGACTCCGAGATAGAAGATAATTCTTGTGATTCGGTGATAAGAGTTGTAAAAGACATAAAATAACAGCTATCAATTCACATGAACCCACTTTTATTATCATTATTATTATTATTATTGTTGAAGTGTGACATCAACCAGGGAATGTAATGTTTTGCTATTCCAGACTGGTTAAATACCATCACAAATGATCATTACAGGGGCATAGTTTATTCCTGCATCACATCAATATGAATGCGTCTTTATTGCGCTATTTGCACTTATTGTTAGTCGCAGTGGAAGAGAACACGAGCGGCCAAATGCTAAAAATCTAAATGAAAGCACATTATCCAAGTAATTAACAATAACTGAGCCTCAAAGGCCACTGGTGCTACAAAACCAATTATGCTGGAATGGCTGTGAAAGAGTTTTTTTTTTATTTTTAGCTTATAGTAACACTTGAGGATTCTGCAAGAAACACAGAACAGACGTTCATCTTCCAACGTGTGAGAAAAATACCACAGGAAAGTTCGATTTAGTGGCGAGCTCTGTTCCTGCAGAGCTTTTTTTATTTTTTATTCGTAAAACAGTATCTATCTACTGAGAAAATTTACAGAATTCACAGCGGGACTCCGGTTACTGACTGTCTATTATGGAATGCCACATTTTTAATAATGCAGTATTTGTTATTTAGAAATGTCTCTGCGCTATATGTGTGTGTCAATTATTCTTTCATTCTGCAGAAAACCTTTATAGGAACAGTTTGGCATTTGGAAAATAGTGTTTTCTGTTTCTTGCTGAGTTGAGTGAGACAGCCGATACCTTTTTTAATGTCTTTATGTAAAGTAGCAGCAGACAGTTAGCGTAGCTTAGCATAAATGCTGAGTAAAGGTAACAAAATCTGCACCTCTTAAAGGCACAAAGCTGTTTTCTGTGACTTGTGACAGTTCACCTGTCTGAGGTGGAGAAGAGTTCAGTGTCATTCTGATCCCTCATGTCTCCATGTCGGGGATAATTTGTAATCATAAGTATTGAATGCACAAAACTTTCTCTCTCTGGAGACACTGGTATGGATCCTGCTGCTGTCTGATGCTGCAGTCTTGTAATCCTACAAGCAACTGGAAGCAAAAAACCCTGAACTTGAGCTCTTCTTAACATTTTGTCAAAATCTGGACAACTTTCATTATTGATTAGTCGCAGTAAAGTTTGTTTTTATGAACATTTCCATTTGCAATCTAAATAGGAAAGGTATCTTGTGATTGTGCTCGTCAGTGTTGTTGCTGAAATGTTTTAAAATCCTTCCCCGAATTACTTCGTGCAGCTTCCTTGTGCTCACTCATCCATTAATGCAGCAGCATGCACTTCAGACTTGTGTTGTGTTGACAGTGACACAAAAAAAAAAGGATCTGACCTTGTAAGATTGCTGTTGCTCATTCTGACAGTAAATACAGTCAGAAATCCCGGAAAGGACTGCATTTCTGGAACAGGATAAATGATCTTGTTTGTTTAATGTTTACAAAAACTGAAGTGGTAAAACCAACACATGATGGTTTTACAAGGGGTCAAGTGCGCTGGACTGTTTAGTCCTGATACGTCACTTGGTGAGCTCGAGGGAGGTGGATGTTTCTGGTATCTATGCTAAGCTAAGCTAACTGTTTGTTAGTGGTACCAATGCTCTCATCTAGCTACTAAAATGACACTCTTCTTCTTTCAGTTGTTGCATTTTATGTGTTTATCTTTGTTGTTTTTTTCAGTCCAAGCTGGGCTACCTGACTCTCTTCATCTGCACGACACACGGCTACATTTACGGCTGGAACAAATTCCTTCGGCGGTCGACCTACAAGTGGTACACCCCCCCGGCATTCATGCTCTGTCTCATTGTGCCTTCCGTGGTCCTAGTGCTCAAGTTTATCCTCCTCGTTCCCTGCGTCGACCGCACTGTAATGCGCATTCGGCAGGGCTGGGAGAGGCGCCGGCCGAGGGGGGAGACGGATGACATGAAGGCCACCAACATGTGAACTCTGACCTCTGAAAACCATTGTGGTCGCTGATTATTGGGTGTTTCTTTCTTGTGTTATTTTGAAGGAAACAAAAAAAAAGGTTACTTACAGCTAAAGTATATTTAACAGCTGATTTGTAAGTAGTCATAAGTAGGTGAAAGGATCCACAATATTAACTGCTTTGATTTTTGCACAAAGAATTTGAGGAGACGAGCTATTAATTCTCTAAAGGAGTAACGTTTCCAAAAAAACTAATTTAGTCCATGCTCAGTTGGTGAGTGACTCTCAATTGTGCAATAGCCAAACAAAACAAGAAGCTATGGTTTATTTCAGCCAAGTGGACAGGTCTCTGTGGATATAAATATTTTTAATGTCTACTTTCTTTGAGCATTGAAAGAAGGAAAAAAAAAGAAAACAGATTTCATGTTGGTGTTGCATCTATTCCACCGAACGTGGTGAAAAATAGATTGATATTCCCCGCTGAAATTCATTGTTTTGATAAACATAGGCACTAGTTTTTCTGTTTTCCACTCTCCTTTTTCCCTTCAAGTGGTGCAATTGTATCCCCGAGGTTGCTCTCTTTTCAGGATGTTATTGATCTCACTGTTTTCTGACACAAATACCTCGCTACCCAAACCCGCCTCGCTCTCAAGGGCGCGCCAACTTGCACGCCGAGGCGCACGAGCTTAGGTATGCACACATGCGATGTAAAGGAGAGCAAGGTTAAGCTAATTATATTTTCCACATGCGGAGTTAATACATGCACGCACGGCCGCGACAAGTGTGAAGGTGGATGACGGATTTTGTAGCCAAAAGCAGGCTCGAGAGGCAAAGCAAGTGTCATAAAAACAGTCTTTACCGCTATTACGGTATAAATCAGCAGCAGATTTGCCGAGCTGAGGCGAGTAATGGCGCTAGAACATGCAAGCTGCCTCTAATATACGTGTGTGCCCAATGAGGAGCAACTGAAAAGGCAAATCAAGCCTCGATCAGATGGTGAACAGAAGGGCTGAAAAGGTGCAGAATAATGCATTTATTAGCTTGGCTGGATGTGTATTGCAGATATTTATAGTTCAAGTCTTCCCAGTGGGCTGCAAGGTGGAGCGTTGGTTAGCACCGTTGCCTCGTAGCTAGAAGGTCGCCGGTTCGCGTCCCATGTTCATGTGCAGCGTGGGTTCTCTCCAGGTTCTCCGGCTTCCTCCCACACAGTCCAAAAACATGTT